GTTATTTACACGTGTAGGTCATTTCATTGTTATCCACATTTGATATCATCATTTATCACATACTTCCATGACACTCTTGTCTGTCGGCTACAACTGCCAAGAATTAACGCGATTGGCGAAGCGTAGTGACAGCGGGCCAATAGAGAGCAGGATCCTTGCCATAATGCGGTTTGCGCGCCAATTTTCGTATGTGCGTTAGTCAAGCCGAATAGTTTGGCCGAATATTCGGCTATTCGGCCACGCTCCTGGCCGAATATTCGGTATTCGGCCTGAGGCCGAATATACTATTCGTTACAACACTTAAGACTCTTTGGTCAAGCTGCCAATACACCAGAAATTACTTTAAAAATCGCATCAGAAAACTATTTTCTGATGCATCTTCGACACCACCTTGCATCGGCAGTTAATTAAAACATCTTGCCAGAGAAATTCTTAGAAGCTAGAAATATTCCTCAACGCCAAAGGGATACAAAAGGTTGATAATTAAAACGCAGAGATGTTATCAAGTTATAATCTCTTGAACTTTCAATTATTTGCTGATATTTTTAAACCTATGATTCATTATTCGTGGTTTTCTTCTGTGCTTCTGATTAGTAGAGAAAAATTCCTTATTATCAAGAAAGTGTGCTTTACATTTACAGAGAACGATGGTCTTGTTTGTGATACTGTAGATTGNTCGACACCACCTTTCATCGGCAGTTAATTAAAACATCTTGCCAGAGAAATTCTTACAAGCTAGAAATATTCCTCAACGCCAAAGGGATACAAAAGGTTGATAATTAAAACGCAGAGATGTTATCAAGTTACAATCTCTTGAACTTTCAATTATTTGCTGATATTTTTAAACCTATGATTCATTATTCGTGGTTTTCTTCTGTGCTTCTGATTAGTAGAAAAAAATTCCTTATTATCAAGAAAGTGTGCTTTACATTTACAGAGAACGATGGTCTTGTTTGTGATACTGTAGATTGTGATCAAACTAATTTATAAAATGTGCCCACTGTCGCAAGTGCTTGTGTGTGCACCATTTAGGGATTGAAAGCCACAATTATTTCTCATCGCTTTACCTTTCCCGATTAAAGAATATTAATGTTAATAAAATCAAAAATAATTAATATTGAGAACCTACTACCGTGTTTCCCCGAAAATAAGACAGTGTCTTATATTAATTTTTGCTCTGAAAAATGCGCTAGGTCTTATTTTCACCAGGAAGAAGAATTCCCAAGTCGAACTTAGACGAGTGTTACCTATATCCGGTGTGTCGAACTGTCGCCTTTTTTATAGCGTCAACATCGGACTCGATGACCAATTAGTGCTTACTGAACCGTAGCACCATGCAAATGTCATGTGGCGTGATTCCCGGCCGACCAATTAGCCATCACCAGCTGTAACGTTATGCAAATCTGTGTTTCCCAAGCCATAGTCTTATGCAAATCATGCCGTGTGGCGTAATTGTCTGCTGACCAATCAGTGGCTGTACTTTCAAAAAGCCAACGGCCACTTTCAACCACCTGTCGATGACCGTTACGACCAGAAAAAAACTTCGCTAGGTCTTACTTTCAGGGGGAGGTCTTATATTTCGCAATTCAGCAAAATCTGTGCTAGGTCTTATTTTCTGCGGATGTCTTATTTTTGGGGAAACACAGTAGATGCTACTGTCTTGATTGCGTTAATAAATAAGCTCACCGCATGAAACGACTTTTGATTTACTGGTTAGACTTCATTTCTCAAGTTTTATTAAAATATTGATGTGTTTATAAGGGCATTGATATGCAGTAGACCTTCGTTATATCGCGCTATTTTTTTCACCAAATTTTAAAAGCATTCGAGTCAATACATTTTAAAATATCGTTGCTATTGAATTTCTTTTTGAAACGAAATACAGTACACCCCTATAACACGGATTCGTATAACACGGCGAAAAAATTGCGAACGTGTTCGTATAACACACTAAA